CATCTCTGTCACCACAGCTGACACACGCTTGCTTTGTTAAATGACATAAGATGCTGCAGTGCAAGGCACAAGTTCTCCCATGCTTTCAGCTAAACAATTTACTACTGTGCTGTACACCCTTCTCTGGTCCAGCGAGCGGGAGGGCCTGGAGCTGGTTATCCATATCCCAGCTTGGCCAGCTGTGTCCTGCTGGATGTTGCAAGGAGCAGTGGAAACGAGGTGAGGTGTTGACCTAATGCCCTACATGTAGGGCATTCAAACCTACCCCGCGTGACATCTCCCAAACTGCCTGCCGAGGTTCAGCCCCATGTGGCATTTTCTGCTCTGCTACATCGCAGCTGGTCCAACCCTCCTGCCTTTGCACCATCCTGGGCATAAGCAAAGCCAGGGGTTTGGAATGTGTGTGTTTCCGGCTGCAAAGTGCAGTATTTTCTGCAGCTCAAATGCTCATCAGCGACTGGGAACACAACCAAAGAGGTGGGGAGGAGAGGAGGAAGCCACACTTGATCCCACAGAAACCACAAACCTAATTTCGCACCAAAGGCAATTAGCCAGCGCACATTTGGTTAGGGTGGCTGTGCTACTTTGTAAAATGTGACCTGTTAATGAGCTGGGGAGGTGGATCTGAGTTTCTGCTAGCCTACATTGGCAAAGGAAAACCACCAGCAGTTAATTATCATCAGGAGAGGGGAGCAGGGGTGAAGTGGCCCTCAAAACCATGTCTGTGCACTTCCAAGTCCCGCTTTGCATGACAGGATCTTGTCCCTGACTCCATGCCATCACACCCAGCCTCCCTCCCAAAGCCACCAGGATGCTGCAGCATCCTTGGCCGGGCAGTGCTGACTCAGGCACAGGGTCCCGTGCCTGCTCCCTGGCACTGCTGTCCCCCAGATATTTCACAACCAGATATAAAAATCCCTGAGTTAGGCACTTGCGGCTGTGCTCCCTGCAAGGGGAAGCAGTAAAAGGCTGATTTATGCTCTGAACCACAAAAGCCTTTTATTGCTGCTTTTTTTTTTTTAATGTAACTGTCTTGCCCTTAAACATCTAATCCCTTTCTAACAGTCTAGGGGAAGTGGCAGGGCTCTCCACGGGTTAAAGGCGGTGTTTTTCAAGAGGATCACGTCGTCCACCAGGTCCCCAAAGCCCCTCTTGCCCTGGCACAGCCAGCCCCCCTGTCAGCAAGGGAGGAGGGCAGCAGTAAGCTACGTGCTGCTGGCATGGTCCACCACATTCTCCCAGCCCTCAGCCTCCTGGGCTTGTTGGAGAGTTATTCCATCACTTGGAGTATTCCCTGACAGTCTTGGGCACTGCTGCTCCTTCAGGGGAGAATAAAAACCCCAAGATGATCTAACAGAAACAGGGATTTAGGAGTTTGACTCCAGGCATATACGTTTAAAGACATTGCCCAATTATTTCTTCATTTTTATTAATTACTGTTAGTCATTTATGGCCCCTTTTAAATTTAACTTCTCAAGAAAAATATTGCTTTAGAGAAAAAAAAAAAGGAAAGTCATTTCATGAACAATTAGCAAAAGCTACAGCTGCACCATAAAAGAGAAATACTGGGGGGGGGCGGGGGGGAGAGGAATATTTCAAATTGACTGGGGTATGCAAGTTGTAGAATGGATGGAAAGCCAGCCAAAATCCTAAGGAAGGGGTGATGCTGGAGAGGGGCAAAAGTACACAGTGTGGCATTGCTCAGTTCATTGTCAGGCCTGCTGTTAATTACTGGCTTTATTAACGATTTGGAAGCGATAAGAAGTGTCAATCGCATCAGAAAATGATGCTACATTGGGAAGAGCTGAAAGCAGAGGCGAGAGCAGAAGAAAGAGCAGCGAGAGAGGCAGGGAGGGCTGTGGGGTGCAGAAAGATTTGATTTCATTCAAGCTCTGGGGGCTTTTCTACAGTTTCCCCCAGTAAAAGAGCACCAATAATGTTTGTGGACGAGGAAGGGGCCCACAGAGCTCACACAGGAGGGTTTGGTTTGAAGCAAGAACCATGGAGACCCTTGCTGTGTCCCTCAAGGGAGGAGCAGAGACTTGCCTGTGGTGTAAGGCAGGCAAAGTCCCTGCACAACAAAACTGATTGGAGTGGAGGGGCAGCTGACTTCAGAAGACCCCAGACGGTATAGCAGAGCGTGTTTAAAACAAAGCACTAAAAAGGCAATACATTGCTCTGCCTGCTGTGCAGCCGAACTGAAGGAAGGGGGAAAACAGAACCCAGATTAATGTAGAAATTGTATTTAATGATCATCTTGAGAAGCCACAGGACAAAATCAAGGGAGTGAGCTGCCACAAGCTGTTAAGGAGGAAACCCTCTGCCCACCGGATGCCAGTGTTGCCCAACATTAAATCACATGGAGAAAACTCCTCTGGCAAGAGAATATTTGGTGCTTAAAGACACCCATCACTCCAGCTACCCGAACACCACCACATTCAAAAAGGCACTCGCAACTTCCTTGGTGGCACAGTTAAATCTATTTGCAACTCATCGTTCTGGAGGTAGGCAAAGGTGACAAAGCCAAGGACGGAGCACTGTGTAAAATTTTACTTTTACTGAGCGGGCCCTAAAGAAGCCCAAGCAGAGTTTTATTGCGCGGCTCCTCGGGCTGACAGTCTCCATTAACCATCGGTTAATACTGCAGCGTCAGAGCAAAGCCGGAGTCGCAGCCCCGTGCTGTTAGAAAGTGTCCTTCAATCCAGCAAGAGACCTCGGGATGAGAATATTTTGCATGAAGAGCCACTGGTGTAAGAGCTGAGCCTCTCAGCTCTGCATTGCAGTCAGGGTGTCGTGTGCCGTCCCTCCACGCCACAAATAAATCTACAATTTCTCAGCTGGGTGCCTTTGGAAGCCACATACTAATACGCTTATATGGGAAGAGAGACCAGACAAGGTTCAAATAAAGAGCTCATGTAATAAATAAACATGAGGTCAGTATGGGAACAGCAGTAATTGCTTTGTATGACAAAATTTGCATAGCAAACATTTGTGACTAATGTACAGCCGGCGTCAGGTAAGGAGCCTTCGCTATCGTTGCTCCATCTGCACCTTCCAATCTAGAAGGTACAGCAGCTCCAGCCAGAGCAATTAGTCACTGTTTACTGAGAGGCAGATCGAGCAAAATTTTTCTAGTTCAATATTTGAGCGAGTTTCGCCTCACAGCCTCCCGTTAGATCCATTTCTGCGCCAGGCAGGGATCACGCTTCTTTCCCGGGGGTGGCAAGCAGGGATGATCAGCACTGCTGCTAATCTGCTCAGCAAGGGCATGAGCTGGCTCCCAGCCTCTCCTGCTGGCCTCACCCAGGTGGTGTTCTCAGGGAAAACCCTAAGGAAGAGGCTGAATGCTCTGCATGTCAGGGCTCTGCTTCCCAGCTGCCTTTCCTTCCACCTGCCTCTGCCTGCCAGTTCCACTGCCCCTTTGCCACTCCTGGTGCAGGCAGTGGGATGCAGCACCGAGGGCAAATGGCACCTCCTTCTTTACAGCCTCCCTTCTGCAAAGCCTGGCTAATTCATTCCAGCTCAACTTCCAGCTCTTTGCTGAAAGAGCCATAATCCAACTCGAAATGCTATCTTGATTTGGGGATTTTTAAATTTTTTTTTTTAAAGGCATGCAAGCCATAGGCTTTCCTGGAAAGGAGGTACTTTGGCTGCAGGGACTGCAGGTTATTCCTATGAGGTTAATTCCTGTGGGAAAACCATTCCCCTGGAGCTGGTTGGAGGGAAGGCACTTGCTGCTGTGGTCTTCCACTTAATCTGCTTGGGGGGTGCCAGAGAAAGCTGTTAGCATCACTGGGAAGTCACTCCAAGAAGTACTGCACCGACCAGCTGGAAAGGCATAAGGAGAGTTCCTTCATGTTGGTGAGATCCAGAAGGGCTTGATCGGGGTGAGCAGGCTTCAAAACCTAGGGCACACATTTTGGGGACATGAAGCAAAGGATTGAAGGTGTTGTTCTCTTGTGCACTTGCAGAGCTCAGTTACTACTGAGGTTGCCAATCAACTCATCAAGAGTGATAAATGGCAGCTGCTGTCTCCCCGCTCTGATGAGATGTTGAGATTTTTCGGTCTCTGTCATTCCACGACAAGTCTTGATGAGATGCCGGTCCCCTGGATCTGTTAGGGACAAAGTCTGTCGGCATTTCACCCTTGTGCTGGGGTGGGTGGCAGTGAGGGGGATGCTGGGCTGATGCTTGCAGGACCCTGGCACTGCAGCTGTCCCCACCTGAGAGCATCTAGGAGGTGCCACCAGCTGGCAGGGGACATCAGCTGGGGGGTGCATTGGTGGGAGGTGCCATTACAGCTCTGTGCCCCTCAGAGCTGCAGGCAGGCTGGAAAACGTGGCTCTCATCGGCTGCTTCAGTGCCAAGTCCACCCACTACCACACTGAAGAGCGATCTCCAAGGTGCTGCCAACCTGCTCTATTGCCCTTAAAACCTCGCTCCCTCCTTTCCAGCCCTTCCACGCTGAAGCTTCGGCTGAGCGCTGGGAATCCCTACACCCTCCTTGGTGCTGAGCGTGCAGGCGGGATGCTCATCACTGCATGAGGGGCTATGAGCATTCACGGGAGCGGGTGTTTTGGGGCAGAACCCAGGGAGGAGGGTGACACGCCACGTCCTTGTCCGGATCAGGTGTGTGGCGGGCTCCCACAGCGGAGAGGAGCCGGGCGCGCTTCACGCTGCCCAGGATGCTCTCCACACTCCAGCTGCGGCCGCCGCTGGGCCGGGCTCAGCGGCGCATTTGGGGGGGCTGTGTCGGGAGGTGTCCCTGTGCCGCCCGGAGCAGGGTCTCTCCCCGTGCCACCTCACGGCAGAGCTCCCTCGGGGTCGGGGTCCGGGTCCCGGTCCCGGTCCGGGTCCCGCCGGTGCTGCCGCGGCCGCCCCTCACGCCGGGCCCGGGGCGCGCACCTGCCCCTCAGGCGGGGCGGGGCGGGGCGGGGCGATGCCGGCGGCGGCCGGGGGGCTGCTGTGGTGGAGCTGCTGCGTGCTGGCGGCGGCGGCCGGGGCCCCGCGGGCCGCCGCGGCGGCGCAGGCAGGTGGGTGAGCGGCCGGAGCGGCGCCTTCCCGACAACTTCTCCGCGTCCCGGTGCCCGGCGCGGGGTGCGGGAGTTCGTGCGGGTCCCGCGGAGCGGCGGCGGCCAGAGGGCGACAACCCCCCGCGGGAAGCGGAGCGGAGCCGGCGGTCGCGGATCGCCCGCGCAGCAGCGCTCCGTGTCCCCCGCTCGCTGTCCCCGCCCGGCCCCGGGGCCGCCCTTGCCGCCGCAGCCCCGGGCGGGCTCCGTACGTGTCCCCGCAGGTGCCGCTGCCGTCCCGGCGGGGCTGCGCTCCCGAACTTGGCGCGGCGGCGTCCGTGCCCCGTACACCTGTGCGTTCGTGTGCGCCGCGCGTACCGGCCCCGCCGCCTCAGCACCGGGCCGGGGGTCCGCGCACGGGGGAGAGCGGGCGGCGTGGAAGTTAACGCTGGAAAAGGCGCTTTTTCCTCCGGCAGGGTCTGGCCGGAATTTTTTAACTTTCTGGAGGGAAACTTGCAGCGTTGGCTTGAATTTTGTTTTCCTCTTGGCATCCCAGCAGCGCTTTCTTGCCGCCGTAGTTCGAGCCGTGCTGGCTCAGTCGCCCGGGGAGGGCACGGGGATCGCCCCCCGCTGCATCCTCCCTTTGCTGTGAATAAAACATTAAAAGGAAATTTCTTCAGTCTTTGTAACTTCGCTTTCTTTTTTTTTTTTTTTTTTTTTTCCCCCTTCCCTCCCCGGTGATGCAAAATTTATGCTGTTTGGGCGGTATTGGTGCAACAGCTCCTCGTTCTCACAATTTAGTTTATATTTTGGGGCTTTATGTAACAGAGAGAAGGAAGGATACGTTTGGTGAGAAGCGAAAGGAGCGTGTCCTGGCTTTGCCTGCCTGGTTGGGCTTTGAAGGCGGTTTTTGATCTTGGGACGCCGTTTACTTTTTCGCTGTGTGATTGTTTCCTAACCCTCGAAATCGGGAGGGGTGAAATGCTGGGCTGCTGCTTTTTTTTTTTGTATATTCTCTTCCTGCGGTTTGAATCGGTAAATCCCCGCTGAAGAAGAATGGCACTCCTCGTTTCACAGGCGCTGCTTCTCTGTACCTTTTTGCCTGCCTCCCTGTTTACACGCAGCCTGACTGTTCGCCTCACTTGATACTTTTCTGTCTCGCACTTTTCCCGTAGCCTGCCCCGGTTTTGGGCAGCGGCCGTCCCCACTGGGATGCTCCCGTGCTCTCCAGCAATCCTTCCCACCACTCGGACCGGGCTCTTGGCGTGGACGATCACAAAGACTCTCCATTGCTGGATTTATACCCCAGTGAAAATAAAAAGCATCGGTCCAGGGTTGCTCGCCTGCCTTCCTGTCGTCTCTGGGGAAGCCTCCTGGATCTGTGCTGCTGAAAAGCCTCTGTGCCCTGCACTGTGCAAAACAGAAAATCCGTTTATTAAAATAGAAGGGTTGGAGTGACATTTCCTATTTGGAGGGGTTTAGGCACTGCTATGGGCACTGGCAGCTAGAAATGATTGAGCCTTGCTACTTGGTGCTTGCTGGAATAGCAGGGCAGGCTGGACAGGGAGCCATGATTTGCAAGCATTTAGGACCCCCCAGAATTTTGGCTCTTTTGGTTTTTGGGGGCTATAGGATGGGGCTCTGGCTGCCACCCTCATTTTCGGTGCATCGAGAGAGATGGTGATGCCGTTGCTCGTGCAAGCAAGCTGTTGGCCAAACTTCTGATTTCATTATCCTGTGTGTAAATATGTAAACACGTTGGGGTTTTCTGATTTCTTCTGTCTCCGTGCTTGGGCATAAATGTTTGCAGTGCACAGCTCAGGCGGGGTCACGTGAGCCAAACAGCTTGGGCTGTTACCTGGAAGCTGGCGAGTCTTTGTTCTGCTTGAAAATAGCTGATAAATTAACTCCATTTTCTGATATGTGGGGTTGGTGAGTTGTTAAATAATTACAGCCAAATTAACTTAGTCCTGTTTGAAGTATTCAGCTGTTCTGAGAATAATCATACTTCAAATATTTTTGCAGTTTAATTTTTTTATTTCCTTTTTTCTTTTTTTTTTTTTTATTTCCCAGTGAGAAGCGTGTTCAGGCTGATGTATGGGCAGTCTTTAATTTCATGCCTTTACTCCTCTCTGGGCCGTGTCGGATGGGACATGCCACACGCCTTCAGAGAGATGCAGCTCCTCTCCTTTGCTACAGCTCTCCTTGGCACCTCTCCCGTCCATTCCGCCACGATGTCTATTTGATGGTTAAAATTAGGCTGAGCTCTGAGTGCCTTTGCAAAGGCACGATAAATATTGACTGGGACTTTCAGCCTGTCACTGCCACAGAGGGCCTGGCCCCTGCACGGGGGTCGCTCTGTCTGGGCTTTGTCACCAAAAGGGAGCAGGCGCTGTCGTGGGCTCAGCACCCTCCTGGGTGTCCCTCCCGTGCCACACAGCCCTTCAGGTGTCTGAGGGGACATCTCTGCATGGTAGCCAGGGCAGCCTGCTGCTGTCCCTGCGTGTCCCCCGAGAGCACTGTGAGCCAGCGCTGCTGCAGGGCAGAGGAGCCTGGTTCTGGTGCTGCTCTTGGGGCATCCCCAGGGATCCTGGGGCAGCTCCAGCACGGAGTTGCACCACGCAGGCTCTGTGCCTGCACCTGCCCTGCCGAGACCGGCACTGCTGCGTGCCCCAGTGACTGAGTTGTGACTTAGCTTTTAAAAAAAAGGAGATGGTAATTGATGTTTATGTGTATGGAATTTGGCACTAGGAGCTGTGCTTGTAATTAACATGAAAACAGTAATAATAAGGACCTGAAATACACGCCTTATGAGTAAGGCAAATGAGACTTGGCAGTAGCAGCTCATGAAGGGGGAAGCCTTTCTGCTGAGCCTGCACGATGGTGAAGTGGGATGGGAAGCAGAGAAAGGCACGTTTGGTCCATGGCAGCAAAGGGCCCAGCACCCTGTGGGCGCTCCTGGCTGAGCCCCAAGTGCTGCATTGCTCTCCTGGCTGTAATGCCGGGTTCTTCTGAAATGTGTGTGCCCTCAGTTTTCTAGCAGGGCATTAGCCACACACCTTAACAGAATTAATGTTTTATTCCAGTTTTCAGGGGGTTTTAGTTTGGTTGGGTTTTTCCTGTTGTTTTGTTTTTCAATTAAATTTCAGCAAACCGCAGCACGTTGACTCGCGCTGTGTCTGGAGGCACAGCCTGTGATCCAGAGCGTGCACATCATCCAAAGGCTTTTTGGAGAAATGCCTTTCTGTGGGTCACTGGTCAGAGCCGGGCAGCTGCTGGGGTGGGAGCTGAGCATTTCCTGGGCGGTGGTGGTGGGGCTTGCAGAGCGGCCAGCCCGCAGCCTGGCTCTGTGAGCATCTCTAGATGGCAGCAGCCCCCAGGAGCTCCCAGCATGAGGACAAACCGCCCGGAGCTGGGGCTGTGATTTCCCAGGCTCTGGTCCTCCTGCTCAGCTCTCCTACGTATCCCTTTCCCAGGCTGAGGAGCAGCTTTCCAGGTGGCTAACGGGAACCAGCCATCCCTGGAGTCCTGTCCCCACCTCTTGTGCACCTGCATGTGTGACAGGGGAGGTGTAAGAGCACACTGGGAGAGTGACCCAAACACCGAAGTGCTTATTATGAGCAACCAGAGGAGCTCAGGTGACTTACTGTGGATGACTCGTTAAGCTAAACAGTAAGTCAGTACCAGACCGATGACTGGTGCTGAAGGTGAATGAGTTCAAACTGGGAATAAAGTGCTTGGCCCTAATAGCGTAGGAATTGTTGTGATAACCTAGGAAGGAAAATAGAAGATAGATGGTCACTCAGCAGCACGGACTCAGATCAGATGGTGCTTCTGCAGTACATGTGATTGCTCAAAAAGATGATGTAGCCCATAGGTTTCATTTCTTTTTTGTGTTTTTGCATGACAACAACTCCCTCCCGATTTCCTTAGGACAGTAAGGGTGGGCCAGTACATGGTGTTGGTGTGGGGCAATAGGATGGGTCCCTGGAAGCTTCTGATCTTTGTGTCCTGCCTGTGCAGATTGGGGTTTAGTGCTGTGCAGCCAGGCATTTATGCTGTTAAAACCACGGGCAAGTGGTGGCAGCTCCGTGGAAACAGCTAAGCCAGGTCTGCCCTTGTGCGCTCTACACGCTCTCAATGCACTGAGGCAATTTTGCTGGGAAAGGAGAGGGGGTTTGTTCCTGGGATTTGCTTTTTACTGTGGCAGGAGCGAAGGCAGGATGAGGTGAGTGCAGCTGGGCTGTTTCCCGTGAAGCACTTGTGTGCTGACAAGTCCTCAGGGTGTGCAACAGGCTCTGATTTTCACTGACTTCAAGGGTTTGCTTTTGCAAACAAGTGCAGGCTGCTGGTGGATTTTATGTGTGCCCACGTAGCCAAAGCCGAATTATCCCATGGGAGTACGCAATCTGCCAGAGAGATTCATCATTTCAGCAACTTTAGTTAATGTTTGTTTAGCGACTTCTTGTTTTGGAGGAGCAGTTTAAGCCGTGCTCGGTGGCAGTTCCCTTGTGATGAGCTGTGTGTCCACGTGATAAATGGTCTCATTTCTACTGTCCGCTACCTCTGCTGGGCATATGGGCACATGCCAAGCCTCCTGAAGTCTTTGAACAGCTGCTGCTATATATATCTCCTGCTTTTCTTTTTTTCCCCAGCCTGCCAGGGAAACTTGTCCTTCTTCCCACTTTGTATAAAGGGTGTGCAAAGTCCAGGGCAGATGAATATTTGCTCGTGCATCAGTGATTCGTGAGGGTCTGATGTTGGCTGATGTTTGGGCAGCAAAGTCAATAATTCAAACTGCAGGAGCACGTACTGGTCACACCATAAGCTTGTGCTGAATACCAAGAATATAAATATATATGAGGAATAGGAATTCATACTGCAAAGAGTATAAAAAATATTTTTCTTTTCTTGTGGTTTCTTTTCTCTTTGTTTCCATGCTTGAAGCCTGTAAACTCTAGTTTCTGACAAAGGAGGAGGTAGGAAAATCAAGTAAATAAAAGGCAAAGTAAGCCTCAGACTTT